TTACAGTTTATTCACTTTGTATCCCCCCTGTGCCTTTGTTTTGCACTTTAAACATTTTAGAGCTGCAGAGATGGCTCGAGAGAAGAGCACTTGATCCTGCAGAGGACCTGGCTTTGATTCCTGGCACCTCACGGTGGCTCCCAATCAGCCCTGACTCCATCCAATGCCGTCTTCTGAACTCTTGAAGCAGCGGGTATGCATGAGGCATACATACCTACATGGAGGCAAAGCATTCATAAACACAAAATATTTTTTTTTAATTTAAGTTAATTTTTTCTTGAGACAGGGACTCTCTAAGGTAGCCCTGCCTGCCATCCAGGAATTCGGTACATAGACCAGGTTGAACTCAAACTCACAAAGATGCACCTTCCTCTGCCTTTCAAGTTTCTGAAATTAAAGGCATGTGCCACCACTCACTGGAAGAAGATTATTTTTTTTTATTAACAGACATTTTCCCAATTTTATTAAATAAATACAATATTTGGGTATATTAAAATTAATATTTAAGATTTACTTGTATTAGGCTAGACAGTGGTGGTGAATGCCTTTAATCCTAGCAATGGTAGACAGAGGCAGACAAATCTCTGAATTTGAGGCTAGCCTGGCCTATGGAGTGAGTTCCAGGACTGCCAAAGCTACACAGAGAAATGATGCATCAAAAAACAAAACAAAACAAAATAAGATTTCTTTGTGTGTGTGTGTGTCTGTCTGTCATACATGTGCAGGTACACCTGAGCCCAGAAGAAGGCATCAGATCCCTGAGCTGCTGCAGATTATTGTAAGTTGCCTAATATGAGTGTTAGGAATCAAACTTGGGTCCTCTGGAAGAGCAGCAAGTGCACATAAGTGCTGAGCAATTGTCCAGCTCCTTTATTTAAATTATTATATAGCATTCAACAGGAATAAAGTTCAATAGTCTACAATATGGAAAAATCATTAAAGAAATCAAGGAAAAATTGAAAGTCCCCAAAGGATCACATTCAGCATGACATCCTTTAAAAAATTAAGTTGAACACACACACACACACACACACACTTATGAATATTCATGAGGTCATTAAACTATTATTAGATGGGCAATGCAGGCAAGGTACAGAGGCGTCTAAGACAGGATGATTGATTACTTGAGTCCGGCAGTTGTAGGTCAGCCCACCTCAGAAAACCCAGCCCTTGCACTTGGGATGCAAAGGATATGCATTGCTACACATTGAAGGCCAGGCTAACCTACATAGCAACTTCCTAGCCAATGAAGGCTACGCAGTGAGATCCTGTCTCAAACCTCCCATGGGGAGGGAAACAATGGGTACAAAATGAAATGAGTGATGGAGGCTCTGCAGTTTGATGCAAGGTCTTACTGGAATAGGTTACTGTTATATTATTTTAAAAAAATACATAAATAAGGGCAAGCCATGCATGCAGCAACACTAGGTATGCATTAGTAAGTAAGGACATTATTTTTCTGATTCCAGTACGTGGGGCTGAAAAGAAATTTGAAAATCCACACTTAAGTTTTATTTTTAGGGGCTGGTGAAATGGCTCAGCAATTAAGAACACTGGCTGCTCTGAGTTAAGTTCTCAACAATCACTTGGTGGCTCACGACCATCTATAAAGGGATATGGCGCCCTCTTCTGTCATGTAGGTGTATATGCAGACAGAGCACTCCTACATTTAAAAAATAAAATGTTTAAAAAGTATTTATTTTTAGGTGTTTTTTTTTTTTTCTCAAAGATCTTTTTCACTTTTACTTAGTTGGCAATTTATGTTACATATAATCATGGATCCATGGAGATGTTAGGATATATACACAGTGTAGACAAACTGAATAAAGGTAATTAACATATCCAGCACCTTGCTTATTTACTTATTCTTCTTGCCTAGCTGCAAGGTTGTGTCCTCTAACTGCGCCCCAGTTTCTGAGGCTCACAAACTTAGTAAAGAGGTTTTGTTGGGGCCAGCAGCCAATGGATCCAGATACTGGGACTTGCAGCCAACCATGAGGCAGAACTCTTGAGGTCCTATGGAAGTATTGGGGAAAAGATGGAAGGACTTGGGGTAGGCACAGGAGCCTCATAAGAAGACCAACAGACACTACTGGCTGAGTCCCATGGGGGCTTTCAGAGACTGAGACATTAACTAAGGAGTGTGCATGATCTGGACCTAGGAACTCTGCACACGTGCAGCCAGAGGGCAACCTGGTCTTCAAGTGGGGCACCTGGCAAGTGGAGGGGAGTTATTTCTGGCATGGCTGCTATTGCCTGCTTTTGGATCACTTCCCCCTGGAAGTGTTCCTATCTTGCCTGGCTCAGGGGATGAGGATGTGCTCAGTCCTAGTGTAATTTGATGTGCTGGGAAGGTACCCTCTGATTGTAAAGTAAATAAACTAATATTTTTTAAAGGTTTGTTGGTTTGTGTCTTAATCAGTGTTTTATTGCTGTGTAGAGACAACAAGAGCATAGCAACTTTAAAAAAAGTATATTATTATTTATTACAATTTATTCA